CGGACCTCCGGATTGTCTGAGGCCGAGACCGGAAGTGAGCCCAAGGTTAGTCCCGCCAACGCTTGTTGGCCGGCCTTCAGCCTCCGGGACTGGCGCTTGTTGTCCCCCGGCGTGCTGGGAGAAGGTTCCCTCTGTCGCCTCGGGGGGGTCGTTGGGTTCGCCTGGGGCACCGTGCCCCCCGGCCTCAGCGCCTCCAGGACGGGTCCCGCTCTGCAAAGGATGGCCGCTGCGAGACCCTGCATCATCTGCTCTGGACCGGCTGAGGTCACTGGAGTTGAGCTTTTCCCCCCTGGGGTGAGCTCCGTGGTTGCATCGCAGATCATGCCAATGGTGAAGGGGAAGGTCCGTTGACAATGTCGTGGACTTCACTACCACCTGGCCCAGGCGGCACTCGTCAAACTTGATGAGGGAGTGGTGGAGTGCGTTCGCCCATTGAATGTAGGCCCGTGTGACCCAGATCGATGAGCACCTCGCTGCGCTCGGGCTCTTGCTGCACTCCATTGGGTCCATTGGGTGCTCCAAGAAGGAGGAGCCCACCTGCGGGACCGTTAGTTGACCTAGCCCCTGGTAGGCTAGCGAGGTCAGGTACATCTGACGGAGCATGAGCACGCTGTCGTTGTCCGTGTCCTCCATTACCCGGGGCTCCAGGTCCTCTAAGCCCCACAGGGTCTGCTCCGCCCTGCCCCTCACCGGCGGCGGGCCACCGGAACCATCTGAGAATGCTCCACGTCCTGCAGTTGGGGCCGCCCCCCACAAAGGCGACCTTGCCCGCCATGGCCATGGAGCACATCGTAGAGTAAGGCTCATCTCCCAGCATGTCCTGTCCAAGATCTCCACCCTTTCGCCTGATGTCCACCGCCCAAATGTACTCCGAGAAGGCCGGGTTGTAGGCATGGAGGTAAGCATCCAGGGCCCCCGCATCATCCTTCCCAGCGTACAGCAGGATGAGGGACGGCTTTGACGACTCCGGCACCGGACGTGGCGTCCACCTTAGTCTGAGCCTCAGTCTTTCCGGGGTGTCCTGCATCCATGGGAAGGTGGGGCTTGCCCCCCCTAGGGTTTCCGTGTGTCCTTTGTCTGACCCTCCGGTCATCTGTCCCTGGGCTTGCTGCTTGCCCTGGCGGTTCTGCCCGCCCTTGGAACGCCCCTTGCCGGGCGGATCCTCACCTCTGGATCTCTCTGGGGGTTCTTCCCACTGCCTCGGCGGGTGCGGGGGAAAGGGGTGCTTCCGCCCTTCTGGAGTGCCCTGGCTGGGTCCGCTCGGGGTTGGCTCTCCCCCGCTGTGTGCACTCTCGCACTGGTGGCCTGTGATCCCATCGGAGACCAGGAAGCCACGGGGCCTATGGCACCCTGAGTGGCCTCCTGTCACTTGGGAAGGTGTGGGCATGCCTGTGGCACATGCTTCGATGGGGGGGCATCACACACCCACCCATCCTTCCTGACCGGGCAGTTGTGGGATCGGCCGCATGATCCCGAACACTTGTTGTGAAGGTGATGATCTCTGCAGTACGCCACCCCTTTGGGATTCTTGAAAGCCCAGTGGTCCGGCCATGGGGTCGAGGAGGTGTTGGGGGACTTCCTTTGCCGCCCTTGCCCTTCGGCTTGGACCGGGTCGGCCCCGAGGGCCAGGATCCTTTTCCCCCCTTCTTGGGCTTCTCCCACTGAGTCTGCCACACCTTGGGTGCCTTGCTCTTGCTCTTCCCCTTCTCCGGCGCCCTGTCTGTTGAGGTGCTCATAGACCTCCCGTTGCCAGAAGAGGAAGTCGCCCCTGATGTTCTGGAGAGAGTGGTGCCCTGGTGCACCATCTCGTGAATCTTGGGCCATGCATTGCGCTCTGCGAACAGCAAGGTGGTGTCGCTCGGGGGAGGTTTCCTGCCGGCTATGTCTTCCCCATAGAACCAGGCATACCAGTCATCCAACTCCTCCTTGGTGACCCTCAGGTTGCCAAACTGCGGCAGTGCTGCCGTGCACATCAGGAGCGTCGTCCTGAAGGTTAGGTGCAATCGTTCCAGCTGGCGCCGAGATGTAGGGTGGCTCCTCACCTCTTCTTCATCCTCCCTGTCCCAGCCGTCCACCGTGATCTTCTTGTGGGTGGATGAGGGGCGTTCCCCTTCTTCCGGGAGCGCGCTCACGATGTGTTTTGCCGGGATGTAGCCCAGCTCGCCCTTGGCAATCATGCGCCATTGCTTCTTGAGGTAGCCATCACTACCTTGGAACTCCAACCTCGGCTTCGGGGTCCCATGCGTGGCCACGTAAGCATCTTCCAGCTGGCGCCTGTCACACAGGACCTCCAAGGGAGCCTTTGTCGGGCCCGCCTGGCCCGCCGGGTGGTCACCTTGGTTGCCCCCCCGGACCAAGTTGGCTGCCACCCGAACTGCCTGAAGGAGGCGCATCGCCGTGAAGGCCGAGGTCTGGGCGTTGAACCCATTCTCTCCATCCTGGAATCCCAGGTCCCGGGGACCATTGTCCCTAGCCGCCGCCGGGGTGTTCCAGCGATCCGCCAGGTCTTCCACCGTGACGTATCCCGATGCGCCCAGAGCCGCCTGGATGGCCCAGGGGATTTCCTTGCCCACCAGGATGGCCGCCAGTGGCTTCTGCAACTTTGCCACGTCCTCCTTGAACTCCGCTGGGACCTCCTCCGGTGGTTTGGCGGGCGCGGCCGCCATGACCTCTTACCTTGGTGTGGGTGCAGGAACCCAGGGCAATGCTTGAGCCAAAATGGCACATGCCATTATGGTCAAGCATTTCAAACACAGTTCATGTTTCCACATGCGTTTCAACATTAACCAATTCTCAGACCAGTTGATCTCCCGCAACATTTGGCTCAAGGCCCCTTTTGTGTATCATTGCATCATTCATGATCGCGTGAAGCAAAAGAACCTTAGCAGGCCGCTTCCAGGATTATCCACAAGACAATCCACCAGGGACTGGATTCTCTCCGGAATAGATCCAGGGACCAACAACGACCTCTACTACCACAGGGTACCAGTTCCCTTCTGGGATAGGCACCTGGGGCAGTGGGCCTCACCCCCCCCTTGCTGTTTTCCTGCAAGGCTGTCTGACCAAACATGAGCCCCGCCGTTCGTCTTGTGGCCTCTTCTGCCAAAAATGATCAAGAAACGTAGACATGGGTCTGACAAGAGTGGTTTGATTTGCAAAAGCCCCTCTTTTGAACCAACTATCCAGACTAACAACATTAGTGACTCCTTCTGGTATGGTCCCTAAGATATCCATGATCCTTGTTGTGGCAACAACAACCATTGTGTTGCCCAAACAAAAGAACATGTGCCTTTTCACGTGTGTCGTTTCCTTGAGTTGATCGGTCTCCTCAAATAACGCGGCGATTTGGATCGGTTTCACAGTGCAGCGCCCTCTTCGAAGGCTCCCGAAACTCCAAGCTCCGCTCACGAACGCAACCAGGATCGATCCCAAAAGGAAACGGTGAGAAAGGGCACCTAGCTGGGGGACCTAGCCAACAAACTGGGGAATTCGCAGGACTTCCGACGGCGCCGCTTTCAATCCCTGTCGGCTCAGTCGGCTCAGTCGGCCCAAGGCACCAGCGCCACAGCTCCGCACTTCAACCGCATCTCAGCCGGCCATGGCGCATGCCGCGCGGAGCAGCGGGCGCTTGGACGACGAAAGGCCTATGGCCCATGGAGGTTTCCCGGCTTCAAAAGGCCCACGGAAGCTGAGTTGTTGATCCGGAATTCAAGATGACCTGTGCAGTTCTCGTCTTTGTGCGAATAAGTGGATGCCCGCTTGCCCCAGGCTTAACAATCTGTTTTTCGCGCCGTCCGCATGCAGCACTCTGTCTCACATCCAGCTTTGCAAAATGGCCGTGCACAACCAAATGCTTCTCAACTCGAACAGCCCGAACAAAAACACTTCTGTCGGCCAAAACCAAGAGCCGACTTTTGGTGGTTCTTGTTTCGTCTTCGGACAGTCCCTGCACGTCTCCCATACGGGCTCGAGCCACTTAAGCTCACCAGATTTATGACCTTGACTGAAAGAGTTGGCCAGGGAATGAGCTGGGCTCCCAAAACCCTTTTGAGATGTTCGAACCCCATGGTCATAAAGACATGTGTGGAACCACGCAGAGTCACGAAAAGAAAAGCAACACTTTGGCGTTCTTGAAACCTTAGGGATAAACTCTGGTCGAAGGGTTCTGAGTCGACCCTTTCTCTTAGGGTTCCCTGGACCATTCTCTGAATGGGCGCCCTGTCCCTTTCTTCCGGCCACTGGCCTTGTCTTGGCACTGGTCTCAATGAACATCATGCCTTGGGCAAAGGCGAACTCCTGCGGCCGGTCGGTCTCGCTCTGGGCCTTTGGGCTGGCCTCGAGGGGGGAAAAATCTTGCGGATCGGATGCGTGCGGAGGGTTCCTGGTGAAACCTCAGTGCCTGGTAACCTCGTGGGCTTCTAAGCGAAGCTGCAAGACTCGGGAGAAGAAGAAAAGAAAAGTGCCGCGCCAAATCCCATTTCTGCAGAACAAGTGGAGGAGATTGGTCGCCGCCATATGAGCTTTGGCAAAATAGGGGCAACTGAAAAAACAGTGGTCTTTGGATCCCTTTAATTTTAACCAACCAAAAGGGTCCACTGTGTGAGAAACCTCTAAATGAACCGTGGACCAGCAAACAAAATGCCTCAAGAATCCGGTTCTGCTACTCGCGCGCTCTGTCCTCGCCCTCTGTTCTGGAAACCTGCGGGTCAGGCAAATCCACCTGGCACTCGCAAAAGCCGCTATCGGAGGCATTGCAGAGCTTCTGCCAAAACCCGGCAGGGTAGAAACTCCTCCGGCAAAGGGAAACCAAAAGAGAACTATGCCAAGTATCTAGCCTTGCATTTTGGTATGTTCATCTTTTATTGGCTGGGAGCCCCTGCGTTCCAACCCAGATGCATCGCGCAGCAATCGGGGATTGAGTTCGTCCACAAAGCGGCACAATCCTCCCACTTGGACCCGCAATGATGATTCCCCTGTAAATACCAACAAAGAATGGTTTTTCATGGTTTCCAAGTGGTGCGGGATTTCGTCCATCCACAGTGTGTTTGACAGCCCCATGTGGCCTTGTTCGCCACAAGCATGAGGATGGCATCCTGATTGGTGGAATACCTCGGAATGCGGCGAGCCTGTGGCACTTTTGCTGGGTTCTCACAGAGGTTACCCTTCCTCCAACAAACAGACGGCACCGGGAGGTACCTGGAAGATGAAAATTCCTTTTGAAGGAAGCCCCTGTGAGTTGCCATCTTGAGGGTATGCCATGCCGCCAGTCAAGACTTGAACGAAGAGAACTCAGGGCTGCAAGGACCTGCTCGCTGGGAACCAGGATCCCAACACACAAGAGGCCTTCATGTCTGCCAACTGCCAACCCACACGGGTCATTGACTCTCTGACTTTGGTCAACGTGACATGGTGTCCATCCGTCATCCAGCCCAATATTTCGCCAATGGCCCTGATTCACGGATTCTCCGACGTCGCTTTTTGCGCTTCAAAAAGGCATCAGTGTGCCTAACGCCTCACGCCTCACGCCTCAAGAGCAATCCATCTGCAGCAGGGCGTGCTTTCGAACCTCATCTTGCCAGAACTTCACGTGCTCGAAGGTGCTTCTCTGCGTGCAGTCGTAGCCTCGGCGCGCCAGACGCGGCCAAAACAAACTGGAAGTCCCAAACCTCACGAGTCCGAAGAGTTAGCAGGAAAACGGAAAACCTGCAATCCATCAGGGGGGTGGGTACTTCAATGCTGTTCACTTGCTCCATATCAAAAGGACTATGTTTAAACCCCTGGGTAAACCCCAGGAATGAAGACGTTTGCCAAACGCGAATCCGGCCATGTGCCAGGCCAAAGGCAGTTTCCTGCTAGCTCTAATGATGCACACATGGCTGAGTTTAGTTTTCTCTGGCCGATACTAAACCGCCTCCATCGAGCCACACTTGCGCGGCAGTCAACGCTCTCAAACGGCAAACCGGTTTGCTTGCCAAGTGCTTTTCACCGACCGCCAAATTTTAACCCATGTTTAGCGCATTTCTTATTTAACCTATAACTCTGAGACCAGGTCCTGGGGTTTATCCAGGGGTTCAAACATTGGACTCTTGAATCTAGTCGAAATCCACAAGATATCCATAGCAGCCACGGAACAAAGGATGATGCCCTGAGCGCCGCGATAGTACCTGGAGCGACAAAAAGAAGAGTCCGTTTCAGTGTCGGCCGATTCCGCGGTCAGGGTCCGTTGCACTGCGCACGAGTCCCAATCCAGAAACTAGAGCCTGCTCACCAAAACTCAACGTCGCACCCAAAGAATGTGGACAGGTTGACAGTAACTCACACGCGGCACTCCAAGCAAACGCTCCGGACGAATGTGAATGCAGTACAATGAATATTAACCGTGGCTTCATTTTGTCACCGACATGAGAGGATTGGTGAGTCGGGGGGAAGAACCGGATGACCGGTTCAGCTGAATACTGACCCTTACATGCAAAGGGCATGGCCGACATCCCTGAGATGCTTCAAGTATGAGTCTCTCCCAACGTGTCCCCTTGTGCAACCCACGGGCCCCGCAGAAAACTCCGAAAGATGACCCACACCGTGATCTTCGAAACGACAGAAGATGCCCAGACCCCCCGGTGGCGGCCCTCTCAACCCTAGGCCCGGGGATCACTCGTCTTGGCATACGGGTCCCGGACAAGACTCGCGCAAAAGAGGGGCAGCCAAACGGATTTTGCAACCAATGCAAAGGACAACCTTTGCTGAAATGGCAAGATACTGCGGATGGACGAAATCCTGCACCACTTGGAAACCATGAGAAACCATTGTTTGCTAGTATTTATAGGGGAATCGAATCATTCCAGGGTTTCTTAGCTGGTGCAGGATTTCGTCCATCCACAGTATGGCAGGATAGAAGATCCAAGCCTCAAAGGAACAGCTCGGTTCGGGAGCCGAAGACAAGTGCTTCCTTGATGGGGTGTCCAAACTTTGAGGGGGAAACCTTCACTCATGGTAAAACAACATCAAGAATCCGACGGTTCTTCACTGCGCAATAGAGCCTTTGTGAGGAATCCTTCTCGAACGCCAACCCTCCGAAACCAAAAGAACAAAAAAAACACGCCCCTCTCGGGGCGTGCGAGGAGGTGAGCGTTCGAAAGCGCTCCTGCCCCGCAGTGTCCTCAGCCCGCGCTTTCCCGCTCGCCGGGCGACGGTTGTAAAGTACTTGGAACACCCTTCCGGGGTTTCCATGCGAAGCCAGGGCGTGCGGCATGGTTTTTTTGGGGGGGGCGTTTCCCCGAAGCCAGGGAACCCAAGAGAGTCCATTGGAGCTGCGACCTTTTGGCTGCTGGCGCTTCCTGCATGTGATAAAATGCTTGGATACTGAGTAGTGTGGAATAAAGGCACCATGAAACCTCGTAGTGAGTAGAAGCGCCTACTAAATGGTGGGAGGGTGGGGCTGAGTACCGATCTTGTCACATGTAAGCCATCAAAATGATACCGCCACCCCCGCCATGTCTGCCAACACGGCCCCGCATCTTCACTCAAATAATGGTTCATTTCCGCGCGCACCCTTACCATCCATCGCATAGTTGCCAACAACAAACCAGTCTGGCCGAACCCTGCACGCAAACAGTGTTGCGCAGAATGTCTGCTGGAAAAACGGTCTGGTGCCTGCCAGCAAAACGGTCTGGCACCCCCTGCCCAAAAAAGATTGGAGTTCTGCGCCAGCCCGCAAACCCTCCGCAGAAGTTCGGCCAAATTTTGCCCGCAAACAATCTGGCGCAGAAGGTCTGCCAGCAAGCAGCGCTCAGACCCGAGCAAGCAGTCTGGCACGGAATTTCTGCCAACTCTATGGCGCCCAAACTCTGCCAACGCACACAGTATGATGCATGCCACCATGTTTCGTCTGGCGCCTGAACTCACAGGATCCTGCCCAAACACAGTCAAACGCACCAGACCGTTTTGCTGCCACTCGGATTCCTGAAAAATCCCTGTGTCTTGAGAGCCGTAAGGGAGCCTGGAACGATGCCGACTGGAAAAGGAGCGCTTCCGTTTTGTCGGCGCGTGTTGAGGGAATGTCAGTATTGAAGCAGCGCGTGTTTCTTGTAATGCTTGAGGTGTCTTTTCCCCTTGTGTTTTAAGCGCATGTGAAAAGTTACACACTGTTATGGCCGTTTCTTCTCCAAGGTTGACATTCACTGGCAAGCCTGCAGCATCTTGGGGCCAAGAACAGCAAGCAGCGAATAGCGATGGCTTGGATGAGCAAATCATGGGGGCGCTCCCGGAAATCCACGTGCTTAGCAATGGAATTTGCGTTTGCGGGTGCCATTAAACAACCCTCATGTTACTCATGTTTGCTAATTACATTTGATCTAGAAGGATCTCCTTTTGGGGATCCTCTTTTTGGGTTCCATATCCCCGCGCTGACTTCAGTCAATGATTGATTGGGGTACCGCTTCCACCCCACCCCTTCAAAGGTCAGGGATCCTCCCCATACGTCAAATCCCAAAAAGTTTAGGAACACCGCCTTTGACCTAGAGAGCCAGGGTGTCCTTTGTGCTTCTACCTTGGCCTGCTGAAACGCCTTGAAACCCACATCTCCGTTGAGGCCGTGTGTCCGTTTCAAAACGCATCCCTCGAAACAATGACACGGACGCTTGCATCTCAGCGCCATTTTTGGGGTGTGGGAAGGTGCCAAAAACGGACACATATCCCCAGGCTACAACTCTCCTGTCTTTTTTCCAACATCCATATTGTACGCGCTGATGTTCTGCATGTCCTTTGCATACATAGTATCTATATATATATATGTATATGTACACATGGGCGGCACTGAACCGCAGCCCTTAAACACATAAATATATAGAGAGAGAGAGAGAGAGCGAGATAGAGACAGAGAGAGAAAGAGGGATGTTAAACTACAGTGAGTGCATGATACAGTTGCATGTGCACTACACTGGTAGTTGATACATACTGCAGGCCTTGAGCCTCACTACAGCTGGAGAAGAAACAAGGGCTGCGGCAGACTACATTTGTTTGTGATAACAACAACACAGCATTTGCACTTGTATTTCAACGTGGTAGCGGAGCTGAGATCCTACCCAAAGGGGAGCTCCAGTAGTAACGACTACAGTAGCACCCCAGTATGCCCAACTACTACAACATGACAGCAGAAGATCAACAGGCAGCATCAGCAGGCAGACCACCAGCACAAAGTACAGGAACAATAGGTGCAACAACAGCGGCAGCACAGGCAGAAAGCGATGCGCAGAGACTACACAAGTACAAATTACCACCACCATACTTCAATGGTGACTACTCCAGCTACGATGACTGGGGATTCAAGCTACAAGCCTACTTGGGACTCATCGACAACGAGTTCGACCAAATACGACGAGCAGCAGATGTAGCTACAAACACAGTGGTAGACCAACGCCTGATCAATGAGGTAGTACCTGACACTGCAAGAGGCAACAAGCTCGTCAACCTTGCACGTGATCTACACTACATCCTCATCAGCATCTGTCAAGGCCCAGCGGCTACAGTGGTCAGACAAAACCGCTACACAGCCAATGGTTGCGAAACACTACGGCTTTTGAACAACCGGTTCAGCCTACCAGTTGGTACAAGAAGTGTTGGCTGCTTGACAACTACTGAAACCTTCATTCAGCGAACAACAGTCTGTTTGAAGACTGGGAATATGACCTCAACAGGTATGAGTGCGACAACGGAGCAGCACTACCAGATGGAGTAAAGATTGCAGTACAACCGAAAGGAGCACTACAACAACATCTTCAACTACGAGCTGGAACAATGACTACCTACACGGCAGTGCATGATGTGGTGATCGAGTACTACAAGACCATCTCGGCATTTTCCAAGATGAATGCAACTACATCATCAGCCGTTGGTAGCAACTACGGAGGTGGACCAGCAGCAATGGACGTTGACAACCTGTGGAAGAAAGGAAATTAAAAGGGACGACACAACGGAGGCTACAAAGGACATCGAGGAAAAGGAAAAGGCAACTACAAAGGAAAAGGCAAAGGAACACCACAACGGCACTTCAAGGAGAGATGGGGCAACACAGGAAAAGGAAACTGCGGCCACAACTACAGTAAAGACAACAAAGGCAAAGGACACAAAGGTTCATACTACCAAGGAGCAAAAGCAAAAGCAAAGGAAAAGGGAAAGGAAACTACAACAACGGCCAAGGAAAAGGAACATGCTACACATGCGGCAGGTACGGCCACTACGCTTCAGAATGCAGAATGGTACTTTGGCAGCTACACGAAGGAGAGCCTCAAGAAGACTACGACCACAAAATGGAAAAGATCTACTCACAAAATTGGGAAAACTACGCAACTACAGGTTATGCAGACGACACAGGAGACAGTTGGCAAGAACTAGAATGGGACTACAATCAAGCAGAACAGGATTGGTGGAACTATGACGACCAATTTGGTACATCAGGCAACTGCGACACAACCCATGACATCAGTGGAATCAACGAAAGGCTGGTCATCGGACACTACGAAGACAAGAACCAGGCCTACTACTACAGAAATGAGAGCAACAGTGCACGTGGAAGCAATCACTACAACAGGTACTCTACTTGTTCTTGGCGACCCAACTATAGTCAACAAGACCTTTGAGGCGATCCAACAACGAGTACTACTCAAACACAGTGGCTACGTTGAACCACAACAACCACAACAATTCCTTGGAAGAATCATCGAACACAACGGTGATCACATCACCATCGGACTGGCCGACTCCTACATCAACAACATTATTGAGGAAGCAAGCCTCAAGAACTGCAACCCTGTGGCTACACCTGGAATAGCACACTACAAGCCCACGGTGGAAGATGAAGCACTACTTGACAAAGAACAACACAAGAGGCACAGACGTGTTGTAGGAAACTACAATGGCTAGCCTACGCACGACCAGACATTGCTTACTCTACCAAAGAACTTGCAAGAGACCTCACAGCACCTACAGAACTTTCCAACAAACGAGTCAAACACTTACTACGCTACCTTCAAGGAACCAAGCACTACAAGTTCACAATACAGCCAACCACTACACACCAACAACTGCCTCGACCTCGAGATCTACGTTGATGCCGATTGGGCAGGATGCCCAACTACACGCAAATCAACATCAGGCTTCAACATCAAACTACTCAACACAACGATAGCATTTGGAAGCCGGACTCAAGCTACAGTTGCTTTGAGCTCAGCAGAATCAGAGCTCTACGCAGTTTGCACAGGAGTGAATGAAGGACTACACCTGAGATCCTTCCTCCTGGAAACAAACATATGCACTACAATCAACATACGCATTCACACCGACTCTACAGCAGGCAAGAGCATAGCTGCACGACAAGGTTCAAGCAAACGAGCAAAACAAATCGAACTCAAGTTCCTCTACACACAAGGCCTCATCAAGAACAACATTATCAAAATAGCAAAGATCAACACACTTCAAAAAAGTGCAAACATCTTAACAAAGGACACTACAAAGGACACACTCACACGACTTGTTCAGTCACTGAGCATGAGTGTGTAACTACCAGCAGCAGCAGCAGCAGCAGCAGCAACAACAACAAGGACCGTTTCCCAACACGCCATTCTCCCCGTTGGCGGCACTTTTCACGCGCGCGTTGACTACACGTTTTCCATCACTGTTTTTTGACTACATGTACCCCGACTCAAGTATTTGTAAATGTAACTACATGTGTATCACTTGCACTTTGGCGGCATTCAGGCGGGTCAGGCAACAATACATTTGTTGATTGTCTGCTCGTGCCTACAGCCATTTGTTTTGCTCCACTAAGGTGCCCCGTGTTTCACTACACTTGTCCATTCTTCGAGCGTGGATGCTACTATGGGTGTGACTACACCTGACCGAGCATCAACTCCACTCGCTGTGGAAACTACAGGCTCAAGTGACCAAGGGTCACCACCGGCGCCAGCCTACAACGAGAACGACTGCCGATTCAACCACACAACACCCGGCACTACACTTTACTACCAGCCAACAGCAATCACTGAGCAACTACACATCATAGAACACCAGACAGACTGCAACTACACTACACCTCAACGACCACACTCACTACGTCCACCTCTTCAAAGCACTTACTCTTGAAGAGTATCAACTACTTTCACTACAACAAACAACACCACTCGACCGCCTTGACTACAGTCGACCAATCCAATGCATCCCAGGCGACCTAAGGAAGACACACTACGACTCCACACTACTAAGCATCACAATGGCAGCAGCATGTTTGATCACTACATGCTGCACTACTACAGTCACTACATTCTTTGGCCTTTGAGGGTTAGATGAACTACAGCCAGCAGCGTTGTAGAAGACCTACCTTCGGGTTTCTTTTGGATTCCCCCTTTTTCAACTGCGGTTGCACAACACTTCCAGGTTGCACAACCGAGGGGGCGTCTTAAACTACAGTGAGTGCATAATACAGTTGCATGTGCACTACACTGGTAGTTGATACATACTGCAGGCCTTGAGCCTCACTACAGCTGGAGAAGAAACAAGGCCTGCGGCAGACTACATTTGTTTGTGATAACAACAACACAGCACTTGTATTTTAACGAGGGAGAGAGAGAGAGAGAGAGAGAGTATGAGAGAGAGAGAGAGTGTGAGAGATGTACATATAAAAAATAATTATAAACATATATGTATATATAGATACATGTTGTTTGTGTAGGCACAGCCCTTTTGGTGGCCCAACCGATGCACCAATAAACACATATACCTACATATATATAATCATTTAGATGTTATTGGCATTTAACCGCCGAGCTTTCCGCCTCTTTTGTCGGTGCTCTAGGCCGCCGGCCCACAATGCGAGCTTCAGCTTCTTGCTTCTCAGCTGCATGAACTTTGTCTTGAAGTCCACGCCTCAGAGGATTTGATTTTTGCTTCGAAGGCTGATTGCGGTCGGTCACGGGCTTGTCAAGACTTGCCATCGGTTTCGCGAGATGCAGGGGCCCTGAGAAATGGTGTCTGACCCCGATTTAAGAACCATCCCTGGCTGGTGGTTTGCTTTAAGGGGACCAAAGCAACTGGGTTCATTCCATTTCTCATTCCCTACTCAACACCAGCAAGAAGATGAAGATGAATTGTTTTCCTTGGGATTCCCTTTAGCATAGTAAGAAAGGATTGCCATTTTGGTTAAACAAAAACCAAAGGGTGCATTGTTCAGGCTGTTTGAGGCTGCTTGAAAGGGAAACCTAAAGGAAAGCACGCGTTTTGGGGGTTCGACTCTTCTGCGACCAAGCCAAATGCCGGAATCCGAAATGGGCCATCCCCTTCTGCAGGGAATTCGTTGCAGAGTTCAATTTGTTTGTTGGCTTTTTCCGCGCGTGCGATCCCTAATCCTGATCCGTAATACCGTAACCAGCCTCAGCGTAAAAACGGAAACGACTCCCCTCTGACGCCAAACTCATGCCGTTTGAAGAACTCGGTACGTTGTTTCCATTGCCCAAAACCAAAATGAGTCACAATCCAAACCGGGTACAAAAATGGTCGATCCAGAACCATGCTTCAAGAACTAAGAAGGCGAATATCCGCAGTTTTGTATGGCAAGGGGATTACTAACCTTCACTTACCCGAATCGGTTTTGAGCACGTGGCTCAAATCAGCCCTGCACCAACCCTTAGCCGATGCAAGGCCCTGGCCAATTGTGGAGGCTTGCTTCTCGTTGAACTCGTCATCGCCTCAAGGAGGGTGGCAGTGCTCAACTGCGATCGACTTTTTCTAGGGGTTGATTCCCAATTCTTTTCAACCATCGTTCTTTCCAAAAACCGGATCCGTTTTCCCTGGGTTTCTGGAGGTTTTCCAGAAAGATCCGGATCCCTGAAAACAATGGGGAAGGTACCCCTAGACTTTGGGTTCTACCAACATCGTTGTGAAGCTGCACATAGGCCTTGATCCCCACAAAAACCAAATTGTTGTGAAGCTGCACATAGGCCTTGATCCCCATAAAACCAAATTGTTGCGAAGCTGCACATAGGCCTTGATCCCCATAAAACCAAATAGTTGCGAAGCTGCACATAGGCCTTGATCCCTATAAAACCAAATTGTTGTGAAGCTGCACATAGGCCTTGATCCGCATAAAACCAAATAGTAGGACCGCCAAAACGACCGACGCGTTTTGGGCCGTGCTCTGCCGAGACAAGCGCCGCAAAATGATGAAGGTTGCGACCCAAACGCGGCCGGCAAATCTGGCAACCCCCCAGACTTGCAGACCAGGACTTCCTTCGGATTCCTGAAAGCAACCCCAAACCCGCATCAACAACTGCAGGGACGCGAGAAAGGTACAAACAAACCCCCTGCCTATCAGCGTTCCACAAAGCTTTGTAACCACTCGAGGCTAAAGCAGAAACCCACAAGGCGAGTAAACTTGAGGTGTTGCCATTGCTTAGCAACCTGGCTGCAGCACTCCGAAATGTGTTCGCCGAGGGGCAAAAGCGCAGAAGGATGGAAGACTTGCCGACTCCAGAGTCGCCAATTATCAGAAGCTTAAACAGGTGATCGTGGGTCGATTCCGCCATGCGCCCGCTCTGGACGCGGCGAACCTCGCCCCCTAAAAAGATTGAACCTACACGCCTGCCGGATTTCACACACTGCACGCTGCTCAATCACAACATGCCAAGCTCAGGAGTCTCTGATCTTAAAGCAGAGTACGTGGTGCTCTAGGTCTCTTCACACCTCAGAAACTCACTCTTCGGCGTCAACACCTTCCCTGAAAACGACATGATCCCCAAGCTGCCTCAAACAGACGAGGCCCCCTTTGACCTTCTCAGTGAAAAAAGCAGATTTCAAGCTGACCTCGCTCTGGCTTTCTCCGCTTTCCGACATCGCCTCGGGCACAGGCCCCAAACTCAAGTTGTAGGACTTGTGAAAACGGAGCCGACCGAAAGAGTGCTGTTCACTCCTTTCCCAGAAATCCCAGGGTCAGAAACTTCCCCAAAAGAAATGGTGGAGTTTCGCCTTCCATAACAAACGAAGGCTTCCAAAAGCCCACCTTCCCGCGAATCGGGTCTCACTTGGCGGCTAGGCCTCGGAGATATGAATGGCCCAAGTCTCGCGGCTCAATGTGGCTGTGGGTCAAAATCCAAATCGGTTAGCCCCCAGTGAACATCCGATTCAATCCAACCACTAAAATAGGAAGCCTAAAATGGGTGGTGCACCGAAACCCCCAAAATGGGATCCCATTGGGTTTGACCCACAGTCATGTGAGACACTGGATTCATTGCAAAACAATGGCCGGGGAGGCCAAAACCAACGGGTTTGAGCAATGGAGCAATGGAGCACACTTGGATCTGTCCTGCCCAAGCAGGGCATAGTTTGTTCAGTCAAAACGGAGGTTCCACATTGGGACTCCCCCACATGCTTGCAGAGTGAAGAGCAACTCGACAAAGGAATGCAGCCAGGTGTCTGCTCAAGTCGAGCACTTCAATAGCTTAGTCGGGGCAAGCGTCTGAGTTCCTCCTTTCCTCAAGTGCCGAACTCGGTTTTGGCTCAAATTTCTTCGATGTTGTGCCCTTGAGACAATGAAGCTTTCGAAAGCGACGGGCAAAACACCGTGGGGGAAAAAGAACACGCGCCTGAGCGTGCTTTGCCCCAGGGCCGCCTTGACCTGAAGCGGTGTGGATTTGTCGGGGATCCGAGGCCCTTGTTGGGTTCCATGTGGCTGACATGGGGTCTAGTGAACCGAATACACACATGGTCATGGGAAAAAGTCAAATCGTACTCCCAGTGAACATCCGATTCAATTCAACCACTAAAATAGGTTCTAAAATGGGCGGTGCACCGAAAAACCCCAAAATGGGATCCCATTGGTTTTGACCCACAGCCACATAAGTCTCTGAGCATGACTGGGGCTGGTTTTAATTCAAGGTACCCCCCGATCTTTCAGGCGAGATCTTTGAAGCCAACGTCAAATCTCAGCTCAGCTCACTACGCCCGGGCCCCCTTCAGAGCCCGCTCCGACTGGGCCTTCTGCTGCTCACCGTGGCCCAGAAACCACGGGGAACTGGAAGAGTTGGCTTCCCATGGCTGCGTGAAGTATGTCCATACGAAAGACCACCCGCGCTTGGTCGGGCTGACTATTATCCCCCATCAACCTACGTAGTAGAAGCCCTTCCGGCCAATGGCCAACAGGGCTCCGCGTTGGGAAGGAGAAACATCAAGTCTGAAAAAGCCCCGTTGACGTCGGAACCAGCCCGAGCCTTGGCAACAAACCACCCACAGTCAAAAAACAAGAAACAAAACAGCGACCAAAAAAAAAAACGATAAGGGTGAGGCCCAACAAATCCCACTACAAACAACTCTCAAGTCTCAAGTCCCACTTGCGGGCATTCCCCTTGCCCGTCCCGGGAGAAGAAACCAAAAAAAACGTCGGGCCGTCCCGTCTCAGGTTCCCAGGGGGGTCGAGGGAGAAACACAGAAACGGTGGGGAATGATCCTTTGGCGATCTTCGGAAAAGAACGATGCCACTGGTTGACAAGGATTAACCTGACACCAGTATTCTGATTTCTGACCCTGAGGACCATGCTGTTTGACAGCACCAACCTGAAACCAGTGGAATTATGTGTACCGAAACGACCCGAAATGGACACCTCTTGGGCCCCGGCTGCAAGTAGCCCTGCATCTCCGACGCCTCCTCCAAAGCCTCCGACGTTAAGCGAACAAAACCCGACGAGGAAAAAGAAGCACCTCCCGAAAAGCTGAAGTCCAAAAAGCTGAAGTCCAAAGATCCAACCGAATAGCTAAAGGGGTGCTTCTGCTTTTGATATGGAAATTGACTATAAAGATCAGGAGTGCGTCTGCTTTTGATATGGAAATTGACTACAAAGATCAGGGGTGCTTCTGCTTTTGATATGGAAATTGACGATAAAGATCAGGGGTGCGTCTGCTTTTGATATGGAAATTGACTATAAAGATCAGGGGTGCTTCTGCTTTTCATATAACATTTGACTATAAAGATCAGGGGTGCGTCTGCTTTTGATATGGCATTTGACTATAAAGATCAGGGGGGCGTCTGCTTTTGATATGGAAATTGACTACAAAGATCAGGGGTGCGTCTGCTTTTGATATGGAAATTGACTATAAAGATCAGGGGTGCGTCTGCTTTTGATATGGAAATTGACTATAAAGATCAGGGGTGCTTCTGCTTTTCATATGGCATTTGACTATAAAGATCAGGGGTGCGTCTGCTTTTGATATGGAAATTGACTATAAAGATCAGGGGTGCGTCTGCTTTTCATATGGCATTTGACTATAAAGATCAGGGGTGTGTCTGCTTTTGATATGGCATTTGACTATAAAGATCAGGGGTGCGTCTGCTTTTGATATGGAAATTGACGATAAAGATCAGGGGTGCGTCTGCTTTTGATATGGAAATTGACTATAAAGATCAGGGGTGCTTCTGCTTTTCATATAACATTTGACTATAAAGATCAGGGGTGCGTCTGCTTTTGATATGGCATTTGACTATAAAGATCAGGGGTGCGTCTGCTTTTGATATGGCCACGGGTCAAAAGCCAAATCGTACCCCCCAGTGAACATCCCAATCCCCACTAAAATAGACTAAAATGGGTCCCACTGCCAAATAGCTGTATAGATCAGGGTGCTTCTGCTTTTGATATGGAAATGAACTATTATATGTATCTTGTTTCCTTCTTCCTGACCAGTCGAGTCTCGAGAATCGTCTGATGGCATTGAGTCCTCGTTGTTTTGAAGGGACACCAACAGGAGGAAACCCCCAGAAAGCCCCAAGAAGACGAACCGCGAAGTCCCAATGTCCAACTGTGGGAGATGGTCAGCTCCGAAAGCTCTTTCGGACGTTCCTCTGGGATCACACCCTGGAGAAACTACACAAAAAGAATAAGCACAACAAAACGCAAGACATAGCTGGAAACTGGCTAGGGTTATTTTTCGGGCGTAATCCGAGGGTGCAATAGTAAAAACACTTGGCTCTTACAAGTGTCTACATTCCTAAGAGCTCGAGCATTCCTACTCCAAGCAAGCAAGTCGTTTGACCTCTCACGTTCTGTCTTTTGCTGGCAGGCAGCCCCCTTTGGTTATTTTGTTGGTTTTGCAGGGAAACCACAAGGAAAGCCCCCCTTCATGTGAGAGAATCCCACATAAGTAGGTCTCCAAAAAGGAAAAGGAAGGCAATTGAAGGCAGTTGCAAGAGTCACTCGCCATCTTTACCGGCCCCGCATGGAAAAGCCGCAGGCCGGCGATTGTGCGTTGCACCGCACACCAAAAGGAGAGAATCCTTGGGCATGATTGCTGCATTGCTAAGTAGCACTGGCACATCTGTGAGCTAAGTGTCCCTTTGAAAAATAGGGGGGCACTGGTGAAACTGAAAGAAACACCTAAAGAGAAAGAAACACCTAAAGAAGCAAACTGAAAGAAACTGATTAGAAGCAAACTGAAAGAAACGCCTAAAATCGTCACTTCTGGTGAGGTGCAAGGCTACCCCAACCAAAAACGCATCGTGCTTAGCAGCATCTGTCTCGAGATTGGGCTACAAGAACCGGGCCAAACCTCAGCGGGTTACCTGAAGTGTACTGCGGCCCGTTTCTCTAGAACCACCTTGTTTACTGGACATCTCCGAACATAAATTCCTCTTCCCAACATTTAAGCCTTGGTCTTGCTGGGTCCATGTCCACGTAAATCGCCTCTCAAACGTTCGCAAATGCGCCGTACTGCATAGCATAACTCCCATGAATCATTGGCGTATTTGCCGGCCATTGGTCTTCTGGAAAGGGCTCCGGGGCTCATTCAAAGTGGTTGCCTTTCTTCAAATGTTGAATCATCAAGTTCCTCTAGGGGTTGATTCCCTGTCCATTCTGTTCAACCATCGTTCTTTTCCAAAACCAGCCATTTCCCCTGCGATTCTGGAGGTCTTCTAGAAAGAAGGATTCCTGGAAAGAATGGGGAAGCCCTAGAATTCGAATTCCTCTTGAATTCCCTTCTCCATTCGCCCAAAAAGGGGTTTCCCACCTCCAAAGCAAAGGAGCCCCCCCCCCCCCCGCCGTGCGGTCGAAGCGCCTCGATGGAGTTGTAGCATCGTCCCAACTCGCTGTGGCTGAAGGTGCGATGCACCATGCTATGGCAGGTCCTCCAGCTGTCATACTGTGCGAGTTACCATGGTTGAAACCATAACGTTTTTGTTGGCATTTACAGGGGAATCATAATTCCAGGGCTTCGATGTTCAAACATCCTTTAGTTGGTGCAGGATCTTATCTATGATGTTCAAACAAGGGGCTCGCATGGCATGACCAGTGTTCTTAACATGGCCTGCTTTGGATCTTAGAAGGCCCTGACCGGTTCCCTAGCTGGCTAACCCAATGCCAACGAAAGCACTGATTCATAGCCAGATGGCCATGGGTCAAAAGCCCGGTTACCCCCCAGTGAACATCCCAATCCCCACTAAAATAGGTTCTAAAATGGATGGTGCACCTACCCCAAAATGGGATCCTATTGGTTTTGACACACAGCCATATTGAGAAACATTTTGCTGAATGCTGCTTCAGCC